ACTATACCGGGCGGAGCCGGGTATGCCAGCTAGTACATTTATATGTACCAATGTCCAAGATTCCATTCGATTGTTATAGATTAGTTTATTTTGTCGCAACTGCACTCTTCAAACAACAATTTGCGCCGCCGTAGAACTCAAAGTATGGATTGTCAGAGGGTGCCTCTTTTCAAATGGAAAAGAATTCTGTTTATACAAATCTCCATACTGTAGCTGCAGTATAAATCTGAAAGCTATGCTCAGTAAGATTATTGTAGTTCTCTATTTTCTTCAAAACCAACGACAGTGGAAGCAGTTTAGATAGATGGACTTGGACTATGCGAAAGAAGCAGTTTCAGTTGTTCATTGACAGTGTAGTAAATTGTCACTTAGAAGTTGAGTATGCAAGCTTGGCGCGATAATACTCAAACTTACAACTTTGAATTGTCAATGGACATTCTTGATGGTCAATGGGAAACAGTTTAAGGTCCATCATACAGCTGAGTGTCACGTCTAGCCTAAACAGAATCAAAACATAGTATGTGTATTTCAGATTTCCAGAATTCAACAACAATAGCCGAAGAAACAAAGTGAAACCTACCGCATTGATTTGAAGACAAGCCCATCAGGATATACAATGACCAGAAAGTTTGGAGTGGTCACTTCTTGCAGATATGCAAACTTGGAGTTTACAAAATACAAGTCTGGATGCCACATTCTATCGGCAATCACCTGTAAAGATGCAATAAACCTAGGTAGAGGACTGAAGAAAAGATAGTACAAAACCTTGTTTGTGACAAGGATGGGATGTGTACAGTTATGTGCGAGGCGTCGATCAAACCAGCCCATAGCCAGGTACATGTCCACTTCGAAGTCCTTCAATGGTTATGAACACTATCAACTCTGACTGTATTTGTGTATGTATATGTCCATACAAAAATTCTCATTTTTACCATTTTTTACATTTCCCATATCATTCATTAAGACCACATCGCATACATGCATCAAAAAATCTTAGCTTGCCTTCACGTCACTCTTCTCTTCACCTCTTTCTCACAATTGGTGACACATTGCAGTGAAGAATACAAAACGGTTTCAAAATCAATAACTTACCATTGTCTGCGCTTTGAAGGAAGACATGGATTCGATGTAGACAGCAACATGTACATCTGTTTGCCTACCTAAAATCAGAGTATTAAGCGAATGATTTATTCACGAGTGCTGCTTACCGTGAGCTTGGCCGGGAGCAAGGAACATATTGTAGCCATCCTTTACCACTCCGTTACCGATAATTTTCAGAAGACGGTCGCCTGTTTCCGTCCTGTAATCATTCATTTCGGAATATATTTGTTTACTTTTCTGGTTTACATTGCAAACTGCAACATGGCGACATCCTCAGATAAGCATTAGAAGAAGATTATCAAAATTTGCTCACCATATCAGTTGCCCATATCTTGTCTGCTTGCCTGAGTTGGACTCCTCACAAAGATCATGAATTTTGTAACTGGGATCGTACCAAAGAGTTTTGAAGACGTTCTCTTCACTGAAAGAAACTTTTCTGATAGCATAACAAAGGTTTTTGTAGTTTTAGGTTTGTAAAAGAACTTTTCCCAATTATAATTACATAAAAATCCCTTTGTGCCATTTTAGTTCTTGCGACATACTTTGCGACTAGCTTCTCAACATATTCAATATGAAAGAATAAGAACACATTTTCTTATTTT